CTATGGCTCCATGCTCTGCTCAGGGCTCACATCCAGATTTCATTTCTAAATACAGGAAGATGAATCCAAATCCTATCCTAAGAAATGAAATCTGGATGTGAGCCCTGAGCAGAGCATGGAGCCATAGCTCCGACGCCCAGGAAAGGAGGGACTGCTCCCTTCCCTCCAGGGCTCTGGAAGAGCCTGCAGATGAATCTCTGTGTTTCTAAACATTGGAAGGAGAACACAAGGGTGGGTGACTTTTTGTTAGGTTCAAATTTGGGCTCTACAGCAGGGATCCCAGTGCAGACGAAGGTGAAAGTCAGGCTCTAAGGTCACAGAGCTCCTTCCCTGTGCCAAGCATCGTACATAGCTCGTTATCACTTTCAGTTTTTACAGCCGATGACGCAGGCATTTCTGCCCCAAAATACAGACAAGGAAACCGAGGCCCAGACACTGGGGCCCATCTGCACAGCCCATATGGCATCGCCTCTTCCTTCTCTCTCTTGGCTGCCTCTGGGAGAAGTGGCCATTCAGGTCCTTCTCCAAATAGTCATTCCGTAGAGAATCTCCACTCTTGGGGCTGCAGCAAGTACTGGCTTTCCATTCTATATTGTAAGCTGAAAAGGGGAGCTTTAAATACTGAAGAAGTTCTAAGTCCATTGCTCCTAGAGTTCTAGTGCTTAGTCGGTGGGTAGGGAAATGTTCCCTTGTTTTCATCAAGCCTGAAAAGTAGCAAGAAGTAAGCAGCATAAAGGTTCCAGCCACGCATTAAGACGCTGCTGTGAGAACAGGGTGCCTCGGGGGGCCCTGGATTCATGTGGGTGCTCAGTGCTGAAAGGGAAGCTAGGCCCTGCTGTCCTGGGGATGGGAGGGAGGTCCTGGGCTACGGCAGGTGGAAGAGAGGACCCCATGGGGCACAGGTGCTGAGCTGCTCACCAAGTGAGTTGGGGTTCACAAAAACCATGCCCCTCCATGTGCAGGCTTCTCACAGGTGCCCTGGTCAGCACCCTAGAAGAGACCACAGGGCCTCCTTTCACTAACAGACATGGCTTTCAGATAAGTGCGCCTGAGCCCGAGAGCGGGCATTTGAGGAGTCTAGACCAGCCCCAGGGCCAAGGCCAAGGCTTCCTGGAGGGTATCGCATTGTCAGAGCCAAATCTTGTTGTTGTTGCAGATTTTTTCTGTTTGGTTTAGTTCTGCTCTCGTCCCAGGCCTCCATGGTGGCCCAGAGCTGTCCCTGGCTCGAAAGTCCATGGGGAGTGACTCAGGGACAGGGCTTCTCCCACATCAATTCTGTATCTTGGGAGATGGGATCCTGGAGAGGACACCGTAATTCTCCCTAGGAAGGACATCATAATTCTCCCTGGGTGGGACATTATAGTAATTCTCCCTAGGTCGGATACAGTTATTCTCCCTGGGTAGGATACCATAGTAACTCTCTCTGGGTAGGATACCGTAATTCTCCCTGGGTAGGGTCACTATAGTAATTCTCTCTGAGTAGGATACCATAATTCTTCCTGGGTAGGACACTACAGCAATTCTCCCTGGGTAGAATACTGTAATTCTCCCTGGATAGGATACCATAATTCTCCCTGGGTAGAATACCGTAATTCTCCCTGGGTATGGACACTATAGTAATTCTTCGTGGGTAGGACATGATAATTCTCCCTGAGTAGGACACCTTAATTCTCCCTGGGCAGGATACCATAATTCTCCCTGGGTAGGACACAGTAGTGTTTCTCTCTGGGTAGGATACCATAATTGTCCCCTTGGTTCCTCTTTCCTTCATTCGTGTATTGATTCACCTGCTCTGTGCAAGGCGTTGGGCTAGGAACTGGGGAACCGTGGATGAACACTCGCATGGTTTATACTCCCAGGAACCCCCTCTCGGAAGAGCCTGAAGAGGATAGAGCTGTGTGAGCCCTGCAGCGGCCACACTGTGAGGACAGCCAGGCCCAGGCCTCTTGCAGGATGCAGAGGCAGACAGAGGCCATGCAGCTGGGAGCGAGCCACAGACAAGGCAGGGACATCGGTCAGCCTAGAGGATGGCAGCAAGGCTTGCAGGGAGAGCCAGCAAGGACGGAGGGGCTGTGGCCAGAGAGGGGCCTGCGTGGCGGCGGGGCCAGGCCTCGAGGAGCCAAGGAGCCACACGAAGGAACTTGGGCCACCCACCGAGGAAGTGAAGAGCCCTGGGTGACGCTAAAGAGCTGGCCTGGAGGCGTTCCCAGCCAGGGCCGGCCTGTTTTAGCACTGCCTGGAAAAGAAGGTGGACGGACAGACAGACAAGGAGAGGCCTTGGGTGTGACATCATCCATGGAAACTTCGGGGAGCAAAACCCAGCACAAGGGCGAGGACACACTCAGTCTGCTGGCCTGGGGCTTTGGGTTGGTGATGTGGGCAATGAGTCTAATCATGGGATCTCCAAGCAGTTGTGCAGCAGTCAGTGGGGTGCAGGCCTGGCCCTGAGGTCACCCCACACTGGCCACAGAGCCCCAGTAATCTACAGGAGGTTGGGAGCCAGAGGCTGGGGCAGGGGCAGAGGAGGCTGGGGAGGAGCAGGGAAGGGTTGGGAAAGCACAGGTGGGCCCCTTGTCCCAGATTCCCTCCTGTAAGAGGGCAGAGGGAAGAAAGGCCCCCGCAGGGAGCAAGCTCAGGCGCCCTGGCCTGACCTCTTGTTTCCTCTTCTTTCCTCTTCCTGTGAAAGAGTTGGGGAAGGAGCAGAGAGACTCCCTGTGGGCACCAGGAGGTGGGGCAGCGGAGGGGCTGGGAGTGAAGGCGCTGTGGGGCCTGACAACCCCTTTCCTGCCCAGACCCAGACCCAAACCCTCGGACACCTGCCTATGCTCAGGCGCTGCCCCCACCTGAAGAGGGAGGAGGACCGCCAAGGCTTGAGAGGCCAGACGGAGCCTTCCTTTAGGGGAGTGTGCACTTCCTCCTGGGAATCCGCATGTTTCCAAGAAGCAGAACTGACCAGAAAAACTACCCCCGAGCTCAGGAAAGGCAGGAAGAACAGTGGCCTTCTACCTGGACCCACCCGTGGCCGGCACCAGGGCTGTAACTTCCACAGGACTCAGCGGCACTGCAGGAGATTGCCTAATTTCTGGTTCTTCATTTCTTTTCCAAAATTCCCATTTATTTTATATAGTCTTGTGTGTAGTGTGTATGTGTATGTACTTCTCTGTTCCAGCTCAAAAAATTCCTCTAGAAACATGCCCAAAGCCTCTGTGCCCAAAAGGTTGAAAATTAAATAAAATAAGCATGTCCAGCTCTCAGTCCACCTCCCGCAGTCTGGAATAAGTCACTGTCTCCCAGCCCCGACCTGCGATGGAAGTGCCTGGGAAGCTGCTGGAGAGACAGAGTCACCAAGGACGAGGCTGGAGGCTGTTTCCTTTGTCATGTTCACCCGCGGCGTGCATGCATCCATGTGCTCACGCTCGCCCTCAACAAAACCTCCCCAGCATCTTTCCTGGTGACTCTGACTGCTTCTGCCCCTCCCGGGGGCCAGGTTCTCTCTGGTTCACAGCATCCTAGCCCACCCCAGTCTCCTAAATGTCTTGAAAGGGGACTGATGGTGCCTCAAGCCTTGGAGAGAACTCAGAGAAAGAACGCTCCTCCGTGAATTTTCACTGGGTACCCGGAAGCACAGGTTTCTGGGGAGAATCGGGTCACAGCCTGGTCGGTTGTGAAGAAGGCAGCTGGAATCAACGGTGTGGGGTGCTTTCTGAAACGTGTTTCTTATTTAGCCTTTCAGGTTGCCCGAGAGCAAAGAAAAGCGGTATCAGGATAGCACAGAGCAAAGAAGATAAGGAAGATCAAGAGCCCATCAGGTAAGAGCACCAGTGGGGCTGAGGACCGAGGCAGGGTTGCCGTGTGGGGACGCGGCATTCAAGCACAGCAAGTGCACAACAATCAGAAAAAGAGACAGTGGGTCTTAGCGTGCACTCTTTGAGATTTCAACAAATGCAAGGTCAGATTACTGACACCCAAACCAAAGCACATTTGCTGGTTGGCTGAAAAGTTACAGGGGCTGTCCAGCAATAAGCTGATATCCATCCATCTGAGGTTCCATGGAACCCAAATCCCACCCCCCAAAGACAACTACCCTCTCCTCTTGGTGGGAAAAGCAGCTGAATTCTTGGGAATGGCAGATTGGTGAATGCTCCTGAAGGTAGTAAATACACCACCACAAGTGGATTTTCACTGGTGTTCTGGCCTGTAAAAAAGTTTAGTTTAACCTTGTCTTGCTCTAAGGCAGAGCGTGGGGCCACAGCGGACACTAGGCTTGAGGTCTGTGACAACTACCGGCTGCCCAAGGGGGTGTTTGTCCCCACCC